GTTTATAAAGGATGGTCGATGTTCCAGAAGCAGACAGCGGAGGGTAGGATTATGTGAGGGTGCTGCAGAGGTCTATAAAACCTGGCAGAAAGGAATTCATCCCAAGGAGAATCAGTAACCAAGAAAAAAGAACTGACAAGATTGAACCAGAAACAATCACCAAGGGAACATCAATCACGACTGCATTTTGTATGAAAAAGTGTTATAGCACGGTCATATTTCATATATTTATAATCCCGCACAAGTCCAAATAATTTTGTGACATTTAAAGTATCATTGACCTGTAAGTATATTAGAATGCTAGTGATCATTTCCATATTTTATTAATCACTTTAATTAGTGTGATTCAGCATTTAAGGATCATATCAAAATAAGATAAAATGTTATCTGCTTTAAACCATGGTTGTTTTCACTGAAAGGGAAATAAATAAATTAATTAAAAATGTCCAATTAAAGAAACAAACCATAGACAAAAGTGTCCAGACTCAGTCTATTGGTGTTTGAGAATGTAACTGGTTTCAGACCTAGACCTAAATTACTTCAGATTTAAGAGCTAGATTTTCATAGTTCACCATTTAAAATGAAAAAGAGAAAAATATTCACAAAGATGGATTTTGTGCATTATCATTTCATCAAAAAAGTATTTATAGGACATAACATGAATAGCTTATTTTATACTGTACAAAACTGTAAGAGGTCTTATATTGAAGTAAAAACACCGGAAATAGATGTCATTTTTGTCAAATTTCCAATGGCATTACAAATTATTTTTTTATAAAGAAGCTCAATACTAAACTAAAATTTAGAACCTTCAAATTGAAACTGTAGTTTCTAAAATAAATGAAAAGGTTCTTGTTACATAATTACATGAACGTACTTTGCCAAAAGACTGATGCAAACCACACTATGGTGAGACTTTAATACATTCAATTTCCTATCTTAATATGAACATGCGGAAGTCTGGTTCTGTATATTCATAGTGGTGCAACAAAGCAAAGACCAGACCTGAAAACAAGCAAAATTGCTCTGCTAAATACTGTACTGTATACCTGGTTGTTGAATATGTTTGCCTCTTTGCTGTATTCAAAGGCACATGAGGATAAAATTAGAGACATTCAGAAAACAACTACTATTGCTTAAAATATACACTGAAATTATATGCAAGCTATTTCTCACATCCAGTTTTAAGTTAAGTGCAGTCATCTTCACTGTAATTTTACAGCTAAGACAAGTCTTTTATGAAGAGCACAACACCTTGAACAAATTTATGTAATCACTGATACAATATGAAAATGGGATATTCCTATGTTCAGTAGTTCATTGGGCGTATAAATAGTTAGCTATGTTTTAAATAGTGGGGAATATAGGTTTGTTGATTATCTGGTGTTGCTTCTTTGAATAAAAAAATACCAATCTTAAGTCATGTGATGTGATTAAAATACAAGGTACTCACTAATTGGTATTAGAGTTAAAGATGCCAAAATCTGGATTAATATCAGTACCCATTCAATAAGATGTGCTTTTAATTAACACAAGAACAGAGAAAGATATGATCATGACCTGACTGAGTTATGGGAATTGCTTAGTTGCTATAGGCGTCTTTGAAGACGGCCTGTCTGTGAGCGAAGTTGGCTGGAAAATGAAATGTTCTGCTTTAAAAGAGTACTACAGAGATACCAGGAAACTGATGTACGTACTGTACTGACTGTTTCTCAGAAGGCACAGGGTGACCACTCTATCCCAGGACCATCACATCTACCTGATCCCTCTGCGCAGTCATCTTCATATTGCAAGTAGGGGTAGCCCCAGGGCTGTGCGATCTTTTATTCACTGGTGATTACCCTCGACAGACCTGATGGAAAACGATATGTGAAGATGTCACGATGAACACTCTGCTGCTGACTGTTGTGTTTTTCGAGTAAACTGAAGGTGCGATGGAAATGTGCTGATGTAGGGAGAAGACCTTTGTCAATTATCACTGAGCAATCATAATGTTTGCCCCAACAAAACAACAGAGATGAGCCAGCAGTGTTTATGTTTCTGCAAACCAGCCTGGATGTGTCGATTTCCTAGCAGACCACAATCAGACCCAGCAGCCTGGATTACAATGGCATACCTTCAAGAAAGCTGCATCGATGTCTCAGTGTGGCCTGCCTTTTCTCTTAACCTGAGTCCAGCAGAACATCTGTACGACCAAGCCATTAACGTCATCAACGACAGATAGCTGTGACTGGCCAGCTTTCACCAGCTGTCTGCAGGTGCACAGGAAGAGAGGTGCACTTTACTACCGCGATCTGTCCAGGTCCTAATAAGGTTTGTTTGTGTGCTAGGGAAGATCATGCTTCAATCAAGAAGTTTGTCTGCTCTTGTCCTGAAAACCTACTGTACTGTAGTACTTCAATCAGAAATTGTGCTATTTTTTTTTCTGTGCTTGTGCTATGTTTGATATCTGTATATAAAATGTTTGATTATATCCAATAGATTTAAATAAAAATAAATACATACAGTTGTGAGAAAAAAATTGTGAACCCTTAGGAATTATATGGAGTTCTAAATGAATAGCTCCTAAAATGTGATCTGATCTTCATCTAAGTCATAATAATAAAGTCTTATTTTAAACTCTTATTTGATGGACATCTTCTAGTGGCACGGCAACATGCATCCAGTGTTACAGGGTCACAGGATGAAGGGTCTTGGTTTTTCATGTCAGCAGTGAATCAACATTTTAAGCACAAGCTGGACTTCTTCATGTCGATCTCATCTGCACCTGTGAGAAATATATGTTCTAAGCCCTGTCAGCGTACACTGCCACATGTCCTGCCTGTCCCTGCTTTCTTAAGCCCATAACTGCATTGAGACTATTTCAGAGAACCATATGAATTAAGAGGATGCTTGTGCTGAAAGACACTGTACTTGTAGTTCTACATGAGATAAGTGTTTTTGTCCTTGACGCACACTGAAGATTTCAGTATCATTGCATGTTGTCAAAGGCGACAAGGTTATGAGGCTTCATTCAGGACATAGTACTGTTTTCACTGTCTTTCATATAATAAGAAAGGTAATATACTGTTATAAAGCTTTTGAAAAATGCTATACAGTAGTTTAACTTGAATCTCCTATTTTTGTGTTATGATTACCTGTGTAGTTGACAAAGTAGATTAATGTTCTTCGCTAAGTGTGTTATGCATACAGTCTCATTAAAAAGAGATCTAAAAAAAGTCTTAATTAATACTGAACTTCAGTTCTGACTCTGTGTTAAAGGCAGTAAAGTTCTGATAGATGAATTTCCTTATTTTACCCCTAGTTTTGCTGGTGAGGGTACAGAACAACACTTTTAACATAGTGCCCCACAATATTAAAATAAATACATTGAAATAATCCTAGCTGCCTTTGAAATGATGAGAAACTTATCATTTCAATTCAAGTGATCAAGAAAGCATGAGAATAGCATATGACTGTATACATCTTCGCTGTAGATATGTTTCACAATGTTTGGTCATTGAATAATGTTTAAAAGTTATTTTTAAAGTAAAAGTTTTGTCTGCTTCTTTTGCAAACTGTTATTGGTTAGTTTCACTTCTCTGGGCATTATTATTCCCTAGTACTAAAAAATTGTCATGAAAGCAAAACCAGTTTTTTTTTAAATAACACACATTGTAGTGTTCCTGAATAATTCATATTATTTTCTATGCAAAAATGGTGGTGCTTGGAAGCTTTTAATACTGTAAGCAGGAGGACACCGAATCATTCTGTTGACCTGCCTTTCAGCAGTGTAATGTAAAGCCCGTTGGCACGTGTAAAGCTGTATGCTGAGTTGCTTAATTAATGTGAAAGAGGAATTCACTATGAGATGTTAACAATAAAAGTGGAGATTTTTATTTTGAGAGTTTTGTATTTTTCTTTAAACAAAATGAATGTTCAAAATGAAAAATCATTTTTAATACAAGCTCGTCAAACAGGT